GCCCGCAGCTGCCGTTTGGGGCAGGGCTGGCTTCTCCCGCTTGCCCTCGCTGGTGTGGCGGGCTCCGTGCCACAGGCCTCTCCGCTGGCGAGGCCGTGGTCTGTGCCCTGTTCCTGCCCCTGAGCAGGGAAAAAGTGGTAAAGGAGACCTAAGCGCGTGCTTGGGGCTGCTGATGTGCAGCAGTCGGTGCCCCCAGGATCACTCTCCCAGGGCCAGCGCAGCTCCGTGGTGTGGGCTGCCCAGTCCGCTGCAGAAAGCTGCCCAGCATCTCCCTGTTATCGTTGGCCTTTGTGGGTGCAGTGCTGGTGGGATGTGCTTGCAGGAGTCCCTGCCTGAGTGGTGTGAGATGACCTCTCCCTCGAAATCTTGCCCCAAAACACTTAGCTTCTCTTCTGAGAGCTGCTCTGGGGCCTTCCAGACCATTTTGTTCTTGTTGAATTGTTTTGGGACTGGCTTCTCCTCCTTTTTTCATCTCTTTTGTTTACACCGGCAATCAAGGAAGGAGACTGATGATCTGCAGAGATGGAAAGTGGTGCCAGCCCTTAGACACAAAGCCCTCCCAGAGGGGAAAAGCTAGCAAAAATCAAGAGAAATGTTCCTTTCCTTGCTCTCTTGGCAGCATAGGAATTGCTAGCACACACCAAGATTTCAAAGCTGAGGACCCCTTTTAAACCTTCTGTATCCGAGTTAATGTCTGTGAGGTGTTGAGATTCAGCATGGGGAGGACCGTAGATCTGGAGCTCTGCTCTCTGCTCTGGAGGTTGCTCTTTCTGCTGTCTCTTTATGGGAGGAAGAAACAATAACCTTTTTTTGTTTCTTTCTTCAGTGAGGACCAAGATGATTTGCATTGTCAGGATACTGACTCGGATGTGTCAGAACAGCGGGACAGCAGGTGCAAAGTCAAATGGACACAGGAGGAGGTGAGTGAGAGCCTGGCACTTCCTGAGAGCAGGTGTTTCTGGGGAGGGTTGCAGATACTGTGGTTGTTTGGGGGACTTCTGGCATGGATAAGCTGTAAGAGAACAGCTGGACACATGGAAGGAAGTCGATGGCGTTTGGTGAGGATGTTCATTTATCATATCCATTAGCAGCTGGGAAAGGAGGCTGTCCCTGGCCTCTGGCATGGCACCTGAGGGGTGGGTGCCTCCATCCAAGTCCTCACTGACTGGCCACAACATCGCCTCATGTCTTGTCTCGTTACTGGAAAGGCCTTGGGCCTGTTTTGCTGACCTGAGCTGAGATCTTAGTGAGGATGGAGTTTCAGGTGAGTCTAAAGTGCAGCAGGAGGGTTGGAGCTCAGACCACTTCAGCTTAGGCATCCGAGTCCTGAGTGAGGCGTCTAGTGCCAAAAAAAAAAGATCGGTTCCAGAGGATGGCTGAGGCGTTGCTGGGCTGAATCACACTGTGGTGCTGTAGAGATGCCCTCCCTTTTCTGTAGCGAGAGCAGAGAACGCTGAGAGTGTTGGGATCATGGTTTAGTCATCCTGGCCGAGAGCCTGAAATTAGTTGGGATGTTCTCTGCCTCCTAGTTCCTCCATAATCTCTATTCTGTGTGAGAACTACAAAATATCCTGTTGCTCCTGGAGTTTGAACGCTGAGTAAGAATGGTCTTTGTGCAGAGATCGAAGCCTCTTGGGCTCATGTTGGGCAGGGAATTATTTCTTACCTCTTTGCTCAGCCGGAGCACATGGGCAAGCTGGGCTGTAGCAGACTTTGCCTGATCTGTAGGAGTAGGGGAAAGGTGTGGTTTTTGACAGAAGTGCTCTAAGGGCTCATCAGTGCTGAAAGGCAGGAGGCTACTAGGTTGGCAGCGATGCACTTGGACAGCAAAAGCAGTGGTTGAGTTGAAGAGAGACCGTCTGCTCAGGGATGTGCTGGGACTGGATAAGGAGATAGCCCTGGCTGCACGGTACCGTTTGCGCTATACTAGAACAGAACGGAGAGAGGCCTGAATGTGACCACAGCAGCAGAGCTTTTGTATTATATCTCACTGTACAAGCTGGTCCTTGTACAAAGCCTTGGACCAAACAGTCCATGCGCTAGAGTGCTGCTAAAGGACAGCATGAGCTGCCTTCCTCCCCAGGATGCAGAATAATGAAAAACTTCTTGACAGACCAAAAGATCATGCTCCTTTTTTGATGCCATTGGACCTGGGCATGCCTGTGGCATCTATGCCTCAGTGTATGTGAAAGTAGATGTCGTTATTCTTTGCAGGATGAGCAGCTGAAGATGCTAGTGAGACATTATGGGCAGAATGACTGGAAGTTCCTGGCCAGTCACTTTCCTGTAAGTGAACCCTTGCCCAGTTGGGAATCTTGGTGTATGCCTTTTGCTTCTTGTGCTCGGTGCACTAGTGATCTGTGTTTGTGCAGCAGTTTGCACAGTGGGACTTTGTTCTGTGGCTGCAGCTCCAGGCTGCTATTATGAAAACAGTGTTCCTTCAGGGCAGGAATACATCCTTCTTTCATAGAGGATGTTTGAGGGTGAGTCTGTTGGAGCTGGGATGAGAAATCGGGACTCCTGTCTCTATCCTCCGTGTCCAGTGCCCTAGCCTATAGTATGTATTCTCCATGTGCTTCTGCAGGTTTTCCATGGGACAGCCTGTCCCCCTACTGTCGAGATGTGCATGTGGGGACTGCTGTTGCCGTAGAGGCTTTTGAAGCCTCCACTCTAACACAAGGGTATTCTGATTCCTCCTCCCAGAATCACAGCGATCAGCAGTGTCAGTACCGGTGGCTGAGGGTGTTGAATCCAGACTTGGTTAAGGGCCCTTGGACCAAAGAGGAAGACCAGAAGGTAAGCTGGGGAAGGACAGGATGTGAGCACTGGACTGTGGTGGTCTTTGGAGACGATGAAGGTGTCAGGCCCTCAAGTCTTGTCTTGTATAATTCTTTCTGTTGGTTGTTACCCCTGGGAGCAGAACTCTGGACTGCTCTGAGCAGCCTAACGCAGCCACAGCTGTAATGAGCTGAGGCCTCATCGGCCTTGCTGTAGTGGACTGGCAAGGGAGAGAGCAGAACAGAGGATTCATATATCTGCCTCTAGATCTCTCTGCCTGGCTGTGGACACAATAGAAAACAAGAGGCTTTTCCTGTGCTAAAGTAGACATCTGAAATCAGCTGGGTGAACTGTGGCTACTGCTGATTCCAGAGTGAGATGAGAGAGACCAGCTCAGACAGACACATCACCTTGACATGCCTAAGAAAAGCTGAGATGAATTTCCCGTGTCATAGGACTTCTGCCCCCAAATCTCCTAGCTTGTCAGGTTCCCTGTAACACTCCCACTCCCTCCTTTCTCTCCCTTTTGCTTGCGTTGTAGGCGCGGGGAAACTTGTCATGATGCCTTTCCACTTCCTTGCAGCAGAGCAATTCCTGCCTGCTCCCCTTTCCCTGTGCAGCTCCCCTTTGCATGTCCTGATTGCGCCTGCAAGCTTTCTGGCTCCTTGGACCGTACCGCAGTTCGGTGTCTTTGGTCCATTTCACTGCACTTGGTAGTAAGCAGCAGGGACTTCCTTGTCTGGTATGTGTCAAGAGCCCTGTGAGCATCCTCAATGAATCACCTGGCTACCAGTGCCTTTCAGCCAAACGCAACTCCTCTCCAAGCTTTTGACAGGGGAGGGGTTGCTGCTGGACGTTACAAGCCGTGGATTATGTTATAGGCATTTGTCTGACAGTGCCATGGACGTATCACAGGGGGTTCGGAACAAGATTCCCTGCCCATAAGCATTTGCACTGAACCATGGGCAGAAGTGATGAAATCCTGGGTGAAGGGGAAGCGGTGGGGTGGATGGTTCTGAAATATTGCTCATCTGGCTTTGGAGCTTGCGCTGTGCATCCTGGTGCTAGCAGGGCATGGAGCTGCAGCCCTTGGCACGTAACCTGCCCTGGGTGTAACACCCTCCGCTACATGCCCCTTTGTCCCGGCAGGCAGAGCAGTACAGAGCTGATGGACGCTGTTGTTATACAGCCAAATTCCCAACAGAAGGGGGGGCAGAGGGAGCCTTGGAACTTATGGGACTTGATACTTGTTCAGAAGCGGGCACGTGTTTCTAAATTTGGGCCCCTCTGTACCTGATGCATCTGGCAGTCTCCACCTGTGTTCTCTGTGAGTGGTCGTCTACATTCACAGAAGTCACGCAACAAAACGGCTGCGTGGAAACAGCCTCTTTCAGAAATCCATCTGAATCATTGCTCGTGCAAATGGAGGTACAGCTGATTGACAGTGTTGGATCTCTGCAGCATTTTCTCATGAGGGGGACCTTTTCTCTCTGCCCTTACCTGGTCCGAGCAGAGGCGAAGAGCAAAGCCCCAAGATGGCTGTACTGACCCTCCACTCCTGTGTTCCATTTCCTTATCTTCTACCCCTCCCCCCCTCTTTAAAGGTAATTGAACTGGTTAAAAAATATGGCACCAAGCAGTGGACTCTGATAGCCAAGCACCTGAAAGGGCGGTTAGGAAAGCAGTGCCGGGAACGCTGGCATAACCACCTGAATCCAGAGGTGAAGAAGTCCTCATGGACGGAGGAGGAGGATCGCATCATTTTTGAGGCTCACAAGGTCCTGGGGAATCGCTGGGCTGAGATTGCCAAGCTGCTGCCTGGGAGGTAGGGCCTCTTTGCTCACTGGTACCTTCACGGCTGGGAGGGCTGTGGAGATCCATGTGTTGGGCCCACGCGGTGGGGGCTGGGGAGCGTGTAGAAACTGTCAGCTGTTAGCTGCTTTTAATGGTGATTTCTGTTTCCTTCCTCTTTCTCTGCAGGACTGACAATGCTGTGAAGAACCACTGGAACTCCACCATCAAGCGGAAGGTGGACACGGGAGGCTTCCTCAGTGAAGCAAAGGAGTCCAAGTCGCTGTACTTGCTAGTGGAGGTGGACGGCAAGGAGGGCCAGAGTCAAATGAGAGCTGAGTGCCAGGTACTGTACCAACGCGTTTGCAGTGTGCAGATGGGGTCTATCCCTTGCTCCGCTAATGCGTGTCAGAGCTGTTCATCCCCCCTTCTGCCTTTGGGCTGCCTTTGCTACAGCCAGGTGTCTTTATAGGAAGTCTGTGTCTTCCCCCAGTCTTCTCCAAGATACTTAGGAGACCTCTCCCTCCAGGAAGGAGAGGTATAATGTGTGCCTCAGTGCGTTACCCCGTGGAGAACAGCAGTCTGGTAGTGCTGTTATCTTTCCTGCCACAGTGCCATCTCTGCTGGGGTCTGAGGATCTGTTGTCAGCGAGAGAGGGAGGCTGCTCCAGACAGTGCAGTGTCTGGAGTCATGGTGGGAGAGGTGTTGTGTTCCCTTCCTTTAAAAAAGGAAATGGCGGGAATACACACAATTATCTGTGGTGAAGAAAACATGATTTTCAAAGGCAGGCTCTTGGAAAGTAGGAAATGCAGAATTAGTGCTACCTGCTCAGCCTTCATTCAACTTCCTCCTGGTGCATTGTTACACTGAAATCTTTAATTAAAGACTCCTGTGCCCGTTCTGTTGCACAAACTCCTGCCTCAGTGGTGTATGAGACAGAGCAGTGAGGGAGGGTGGGGATGTAAGAAAAAACAGATGGAAAGGAAGGAAAACAGGGGGAGCTGAATGTGTCTGGGGATCCTTGCTCTGTGTCCCCAGGGTTTGACCTTGCTGCCTTGGTTTCTGTTAATGGCTGGACTTTGTCTTTGTTGTTTGGAAGAATGTCCTGCCAAACTGGCCAGTTGATATCTCTGAAATAAAAGAAGAGGATGCCAGCGATGAGGAAGTGACAGGCGTGCAAGAGTTACCCTCGGAGCTACCAGCTGCTGAACTGGCGGAGCATAACACTGAGGGGACTCCAGATGACGTGTTGCCTGAGGATGCCTCAACATATGTCACGTCACCGTACAAATGGGTTGTCGAAGCTGCCAATTATTTATGTCCCACATCGGTGCCGGCCTTCAATGAAGCTCTGGACATGATAGAATCTGTAAGGAACGAACCCTCACTCCTCCCACTAATGCAGGGACCCTGTGGCAGGACCTGATCCACCCAGCCCTTTCCCTTGAGTGAACTTATTGCCATAAGCTTCCTGGGAGGGATGGGTCTCTGGCTGCGTTGTGGCTTCCCACTGCCTCTTTTCAGGAGGTGGATTAGGCCTTCCCAGCTATGCCACTATTGCTCTGGGCCATCAAATTCCCCTAGGTGTGCTTCTGCAAGGGCTCTGGTGGTATGCGAGGCTGTTGCTGCTGGCAAACCTGGTCTTGAGTCCTCCTTTATCAAACGGGGTGTACGAGTGTCGCCAGCTGTCCCCTTGCTAAAGGTTCAGGCCCGTGCTCGTGGGGCTTCGCGTTATTCTCCTTCCTGTTGTGGGATGGAATAGGGCAGGTTGAGAGTAGCCCAGGTCCACTTGTAGCGTGCAGGACAGATGCCTCCATATTGAGCAGAGGCCACCTTTGGCTTTCAGTGGAGATAGCTTCATGAAACTAATAACTCTGCTCCAGTAAAGTGGTGCTGAGGTCCCTGGGGTGACCCAGGGAGAGAGACTGTCCAGGACTGGGAGATCTGGGCTAAGCTTCAGCAGCAGCAGCAGCAGGGCAAGGCTCTCCAAGCTGCGCAGGCTCCCTGTGCGTAGGCAAGTCTCTTGACGTTTCAGAAAGTCTCAGTCCTGTGCCGCTGTTCTCTCGGCTCGTGCTGCTGAGTGCATCCTGAGCTGCTGTGAGGGCTGTGATGACAGCAAGGCGCTTTTTCCTCTGTGGATTCCTTTAGATTAGCCTCCAGCTTAATATATAACCAGAGCACTTGGCTGCCTTTAGAGGGAAATGTCTCTGCAGCCCCCAGCCTGGCTGGGGAGCTTTTGAGCTGATTGTCTGTGAAACATCCACTTTGCATGCGTGAAGGCCACAGAGGCTCTGCCTTCAAGGGCTTAATGGCTCATCTGTGGGTCCTTAGAGGCCTGACAGTGCTTTGGGTATTGATGGGGTTGAGCTGTGATGGGCATCTGATCACTCAACGGGTCTGCTTATTTTTAATCTACTTTCAGACATGCACTTTACAGCAGGTCCCTAGGTCTGCCTGTACTGGTGCGCCTGGGACTGTGGTTTGGTGTTTGGTGACAGACCTTGTCTTGTTTTGTCCCCTCTGTGCTGGTGCAGCTGTTTGTGCAGCTGTGCTGTGACCTGAACTGGTGAACTGATCTGGCGTAAAGAAAGAAAACTGCCCTATGCACAAACAGCAGCTTTCAGCTGGATCAGTTCCCTGGTCTGCTTCTCAGCTGTGCTGACAGCAAAGGAGGGAGGGGCTTGAGCTCTTCTTAACCAGGCTCCTCGCAAAAGTCAGTGCAACCTCTCAGACCCGGTTATGTCACCCCCACCTTTCCACCCCCGAGTTAATCTCTGCCTGTGCACCATTCAGACGACTCTTCTTTCCTTCCTGGGCTGTTTCTGATGGTTGCTCTTGTGTGCAGGACCCAGATGGGTGGTGCGATCTGACCCAATTTGACCTGCCTGAGGATCCTTCTGCTGGCAGCAGCAGTAGCAGCAACAGTCCTGTGAGGCAAACGCCCAGCAAGCCAGCCTCATCGCTATCCAATGTAACCGAGTACCGCCTGGACGGCCACACCATCTCTGACCTAAGCAAGAGCAGCAAGGGAGAGCTCATCCCTATCTCCCCGCATGCGGAGGTGAGCTTTGGCACACCACCCTCCATGCTGAAGAGGCAGAAGAAGAGGAAGATCTCCCTCTCTCCTGTTACAGAGAACGCCACCAGCACCAGCCTTTCCTTCCTTGACTCCTGCAACAGCATGACACCCAAGAGCACCCCTGTGAAGACATTACCTTTCTCCCCATCCCAGGTATGGAGTGGTGGCAGAGGCCGCTCTGTGCCCCTCTGCTTGACTTTGTTTGTGAACTACTAAGAATGTCAGTGCTCTATCTACTTGCCTTGATGCTGCATGTTCCCACCAACTCTGCTAGCTTTCTGTTCCTACTCTTTTGAGTGAGGCAATGCTAGTGCACAGGGTATGTGTCCCCCTCTGCTAAGACAAGATGCAGACCTGCATTGTGGCGCTGGTTGTCTTCAGTGCTGCTCTTCCCGTGGGAGAGGCAGCCTATGTCTCCCTCTGTGCGAGCGGAGTGCTCGCAGCATAGGTAAAGCCTGGCTGCCCTATGTGCTGGGCAAGGCATATGCCTGCTATGAGGAAGAAGCACCACTGTGCAGGTCTACATCAGCCCACTGCTGGATCGATGGAGAGCACGGCACCTCTCTCTCCAGGGTGGCGTGTGCAGGGCATTACTGCCCTGGCTGTGGGTAGCAGTGTGGGAACAGTGAAAGTGGCTTTCCCTGTTTGATCTCCAGTTAAGACATCTACCCAGGCTGGACAGCATATACCTTGCACAGATCTTTGAGTCATTGTACTCAGGAAAATGTTTCTGGGCTTTGTTGTGATTGCAAAATGAACTTGGGATCTTTCCGTCCCTGACGTCCACTGCTATAATGCTCACACGTATACACGCGCACGTGATCTCACAACATACATCTTACTGGAGCACCGTGCTGTTCAAACCACCTGGTGCCGCATACATGGGCGTGATGGAGTTCTGCCGGTAAACAGAATAAAGCCTGCTGCATTGCTGTGTCCTCCAGCACAGTTCTCGCAGCCTGCTCTGCCGTTCTCACCCCATCTCCCTGTGCCGCTGGCTGAGCCTTCCAGTATTTCTGCTGTGTTTCTGCAGCCCTGTGTGGCATGTGGGAGGGTTCCGGTGGACCTCGAATGTGAGGCCAGCAAGAACCAGAGTTTGGAGACATGACCTGAAACATACAGTTCTGCAGGGTGCGAAGGCCTGAAATGCCTGGAATGGGTCTGAGAAAACAAAGTGCGTATCTTGTCTCTCAGGCTGCACTCTAACCATGAGTGAATGTAATAAAAACAGCTGTTCTCCCCTGACTGGTTCTTGGATATGAATCTTGCTTCTTATAGGAGTAAAGCTGAGTCATTTATTAACTGCTGTGAAGTCCTAGCAGAGATAAGACACTTTGATTTTTCTCATAATTTGAGGACAGCTCTGTACAAAACTTGGCAACTTGTACAGAATCTAGATTGTTATGTTGCTTAGACTTTCAGGTTTGTTAATCTGGGGTTGGAATAGATCTTTAGGTGGGGTGACAATACCCTTCCTCCCCATCTTTACCACTTTGGCCTTATCTGGACCAGTGGAAGCCGAGACTTCCCTCCCGCTCTGTATTTGCCTGTAGTCACACCAGGTTTTTCTGTATGGGAAGGGAATAAAGTCTGTAGATGTGAGGCAGCTTCTGGTAACTTTCTTGTATGTGCCCGTAAACCAGACTGTATCCACGGTAGGAGTCATCCTAGTTCATTTGTAGTGGGGCAGACTCCTCTTAAGCCGCTCAGCGTTGGTAAGCTGTCCGTACACCAGCCCCTACACCAGCTTTTCTCCCTTATTTATGAAAAGGTGATATTTGTGATAACGTACTGGGAAAGTTTAAGACTGTGTTCTTCTCTTTCCTGTCCTGGCCAGTTCTTAAACTTCTGGACCAAACAAGATACGCTGGAACTGGAGAACCCGTCTCTGACCTCCACGCCTGTGTGCAGTCAAAAGGTGATTGTTACGACCCCTCTGCACAGGGACAAGACCCCGCTGCTCCAGAAAAACTCGGCGTAAGTCCTTTCTGTCTTCTGTTCCTCGTCGCTTGTCCCCACCTGAGCGGCATCCTTTCCACAAAGAATGGTTTGCTAGCTGGGAGCTCCATTTGTCTGGTGGTTGTGCTGAGCTGTGCCTTCAGCAGCAAATTGTCCCCTTAAATTGCTGCTTAAATTGCACTGAGGAAGCCAGCTGATAGGAGAAGTCGGTGCCTAAAACACACAGGGCAAAGCTATAAGTGCAAGTGCAAGTCTGTTTAATTGAGCAACAGAACATGCATCTCCCTGACACCACCATGTGCCTTTTGCATGTGGCCAGGGCTGGGGGCACAAGCCTTCTCTTGGATCCCCAAGGGTGGATGGAATTGGTCACCGTTGCAGGGACATTGGAGGCTGTGTTGCATTTAGGAGCAGTTTGGCAGTCCCTGTCGCACAAGTGTTTGTGGGTCAGGCTGGAGATGGGTTCAAGAACTGTTCTGAATTAAGAATGCCTGCTGTGAAACCAAATCTGCGAATTTTCTTAGCTAAGTGAGCTCTCCAGCTCAATTCAACTATGGCTTTCCCAGTACTTGTGCTGGCCCTACTGAAAGAAGGGCAGGGCTGGGGATTTACTTAAATCAGTGTTGCTCCCAAAGACAACTCCTCTCTGAGCCTTAGGGAACAAATGCCCATCTGACTGGGGCTGCTGCCAAATGACCGCTATTGTGCTCAGCTGCTGGGTGCGCTGTTTCCTTCTGTGCATGCATGCCTTTGGGAAACATCGCTCTGCTGTGATCCCTGTGCCAGCAGGGAAGGGATTTGGTTTCCTCAGCAAGGGCTGTCCAGATCCATCCCTTTAGCTCCGCGCTCTCAGTTTTGCCTTGCCGGAGGGCAGTCCAGGGCAATGATCCGAGGGCGTCCAACCAGACAGAGGTTGGAGAGGGTGGCCTAAACAGGGAGTGCTTTGCTGGTGGACCTATTGCCACGCGTCATTAAATTGCAGCAGCACGGCGTTTGGGGATGCTGGTTGTACTAGAAAAACCGTTCTGTCTTTGGTATTGCCTGGAGCAGCTTCCCCATCCAGGCACTGCAAACTGGCTTGGCTGCTGTAAGTGTGTCTATGCTGGGGACTTCTGATGGCCCAGCTGTGACTGACAGAAAGCTCAGGTTGGACGTGAGGAACTCTGGCAGCAGAAGCATTGCAGAGTAACACTGGCTTGCAGAGCGGTACGTTGCCTGCGTTGGGGCTGCCATACCGGTTTCTGACAAAGGTGCTTGGCAGATGGCAGACTGGAGCAGTGTGGCTGGTGTTTCTGAAGGATGTTTCTGCTGCTAAAGGCTCTTAATATCTGTTCAGTACCCTGCTCACACCCAGAAGCAGTCCAGCCAGGCAGATGGTACCTGCTGTTGCTATGTGAGCCACCACAGGTGGCTCATGTAATGAGAGGGCTTGGAAACATGTAGGGTGGTTTTGTGGGTTACAGCATGTCCGATCCTTAGTCTTTCCTTCTCTCTGTTGCCAGGTTTGTCACACCAGATCAGAAGTATGTGGTGGACAACACTCCTCATACCCCTACACCTTTCAAAAACGCCTTGGAGAAATATGGACCAATTAGGCCCCTGGTATGTATTGGGCGAGCCTGCTCTTGCTGATGCTAGTGCTTTACTCCCTGGGATCCTTAGTGAATCCGAACGGGACATGGGATAGGATGCAGCAGAGCTGTGGGCCAGCCATAGTAAGGTGGTGCAGTCTGTTAGTACTGGGCTGAGCTGGGAAGGATGAAGGGAACTTTATTATGAAGAACATGTCATGGTAAGTAGTCACAGGACTCTTAGCTGTTCTGTAAACCAGCCCCCAACATCAAAAACTGACCTTATATCAGGCTGCAGTACTTGGCTATCGATGACGTAGAGGAAAAGCAGGCAAATGATATACCTGGGTCTCCATGTGGAACTGGGTCTCTAATGTGGACGTAGCTGGGTGCTGTGGGGATGGCAATTTCCAGTATCCAAGGCCTTCCCCTCATGCTGGTCTCTTGAGGGTGCATCTGGAGTTGAGGTTCTTTGCGCCTGGAGAACCTGTAAATCGGTCAGGCTGGCAGAAATTTTGTTATACCTTTTCCTGCGGGGAAGTGAATACTTCCTCCTCATGTTCATCCTCGACTAAGTGTCTTATGCTCTGTCCCTCCCCTCTTCACTCCAGCCCCAGACCCCTCACCTGGAAGAAGACTTGAAAGAGGTGCTCCGAAGTGAAGCTGGCATCGAATTGATCATAGAGGATGATGTAAAGCCTGAGAAACAGAAAAGGAAACAAGGGGTGAGCTGGTCTTGTGTCCAGTACCTGCTTTTGGGCTGCCCTGTGTTGCTGAGGAGTGTGTTTGCTGGTTGTGTTTTCCTGCTGCTGGCCCCAAAGGGCCTGTTGGCATGTGTCTGCTGGCTTTTTATCAGTGGGACACCTTATGTGCCTGAGATTAAGACCTGCTTAAAACACTGCTGGCTGCATCCTGATTTATGCTGAATTCAGGGCCATGCTAGAAGATACTGCGTGTAGCAAACAGAAGATGCCCATAGTGGACTCGGATCTGTAATGTGAGGGGCTTCCCCTTCTGAATCAATGGGTTTTGATGCTAGGAGGAGAGCTGTAGAAGCTGCTCTGCCCTGTGGTGGGAAAGGCTGCAGCACCTCTTCTTCCACAGTTCCTGATGCCATGCAGACCAGGGGTGGTGTGGGCTTGGTGTGTACCCTGGGCCCTTTGAGAATTTGCTGAGTTGATCTGTGCTGACACTGTGTTTCTGTGTCCCTCCAGCTGCGCAGGAGTCCCATCAAGAAGGTCCGGAAGTCTCTGGCCCTGGATATTGTGGATGAAGATACAAAGCAAAATATGCCTGCCCTCCCCAAGACAATCTGTTTCAAAAGAGCCCAGGTGAGGGATGCTGGGATCAGAGCAGGGGTAGAGTAGGCTGCAGCAGATGTGGGAGATGAAACTTCTTGTTTGGGCTCTTTTGGCAGAGGAGCTCTGGACAGGGATCTGGTCTGGCTGGTTCTGTAATCCTTGTTCAGGATCCTCCTCAGCCTTCTTGGAGAGAGAGAGGAGCTGCGGGGAGAGAGCTTTCCTGAGAGGTTAGGCTGGATTTTCAGAAGGAAACATTGGTCAGAGGGCAGCAAGATGGACATATATCAAGTATGAGCTGCTGCTCCGCCTTGCATGGCTGCCCACAGAATCTGCTGCTCAGCTGCTTGCTGCTGTCAAGCTTTGCCTCTGGTTGAGGAGGCCAGGGACCTTTACAAATGCCTTGTGCTCTTTGATACCAAAGCAAACATCTCCCTGAAGAACCATGTATGTGAATCACAAAATATAACATGGCCCTCTCCATCCCAGCTCTACGGCTCCTGCTTGCCTGAGCACGTGGGGCTGGTTCAGGGAGCTGACCTGGCAGAGCACTAGCCTGAGGAGGCAATGTTACTTGTTCTTTACCAGGTTAGCTCCCCGAATTGAGTTGCCGGAGGGGGTGGGTGAGCCCTTGATGCAGCACAGCTGAGAGGGAAGGAGGAATAAGTAGATTGCTCCCCTTTCACCTGCAGCTTTTCTGTATCATCAAGCTGTGCCTGAGTATTGCCAGGCAGCTGCACTGCCCTGTGGCTCAGTGCTGCTGAAACGGAGGGCTTGTTCTGCCCTTCCAAGACCATCTGGCTGCAGTTTTCCACCCACCACTACTGCTGCTTTTGTGTGCTGGCTCTGAGCCCGAGTTCTCCCTCTGTGTCACTTGACCCCATTAAAACAGCAGAAAAGCCTCAGCTTTATTGCTGTGCTTTTCTTTCTTTCTTTCTTTTTCTTTTTTTTTTCCTCCCAGCAACTTAATGCAGGGACTGCTGAATCCAGAGCCCCATCATGGTGTGGTGCTGCAGGTGGAATCACAGCCTGAAGGGCAAAGACTCCAGATGGATAGAAATGCCCATGAAAAAGTTACTTACTCAAACTGCAGAAGGGGGTGCAAATTCCCTCGTGGCTCGACCACTGCCCAGCTGGTTTTTGACCTGTAGGATGAGGGAGAAGCCTTATATGCTCTCATCCTCAGAGCTCCCAAGCTGCCCTGGACAAGGTTGGCTGCAGATGTGAGAAAACCAGCCCTCTTTGTCTGTGGGAGGAAGTTGAGGCCTGCATTTGGGAACAGTTGCTTGGTTCTAACATGGTAGCCTGCATGTCTTTTTCCTTGCAAGGCTGATCAGGCTAGTAAGCTCTCTGAAGAAACCCTGTGCAAAGCAGCTGTGGGAGCTTTGCCACCTACAGCTGCCTCCGAACACTACTTGAAGGGCTACCGAAGGGCTGGATTTGTTCACTAGGCCTTCTATGCAGCACTATAGGGCAAATCAGCTTTTTTGCTTATACAATTTTCTTTCCCTTTGCTGCAGCCGGTGAATTTCCTGTCGAGGTCCCTGAACCTTTCCTCCTCGAGTAGGAAGAACGACAGCGGTTTGCTCAACAGAGCCTTTGTGCAAGTGCAGCCAGAGAAAATGTCCTACAGGAAAATGCCAAGCCATTTCAGACCACCAGCACCGGTAAACCCTGCAGCCACTGCTCCCCCCATCAGGAGCTTAGCTGACAATGCAGGCCCTGTTCCTCCTCGGGAGGAAGAGAGGGGACACAGCCTTGGAGATGCACTCCCATGTGGGCATCCAGGCACTGCCAGGGCTGGGTGCTGTCTTTGCATCCAGATTTGGACATGCTCAGCCAGCAGCATCATACCACGGCTCCCTCTGCTCTCCTTGCCAACCTGCTATTCTGCTGGGGCTCGAAGCTGTGAGCCTGCTTACCATGTTTGGCCTTGATTTGTTCACGGGAATCGCATCTTATCCCAGCCCCTGAGGGAATTTGGGCCACTGACCAGCAGTGAAGTAAACCTTTCTTTTCCCAGTGAGCGCTCCCTGGGTGGGCAATAGGAGGTTCATCCTTCTAGTTCCTCTGACCATAGCAGTCTGAGGTGCTGCAAAAATGCCAAACACAAAGGCATTCCCAGCCCTGCGATCTTCAGGGTGTTTCTAGGTTATGGTGAGGGCAGTGGGGCATTGACAGCCTAGGCTGGCTTTATCCTGCTGTTCGTTGATCCAGTGCAGAGCTCCAGTTGCCAGTATATGCACTGACCTTTGAAGCATACCCTGTTGAGGTTGGTGTTTTTGCAGCTATGCTGTTCTAGGGTTCCCTGTTGTTGCATCTGGGTTGTGCTGAGGTCTCAGCAGCCTACAAATACCCTCAGGATCTCTGGGATATAAATGACCTCTTGTGCTCTGTTTAAAATCTTGACCACTCGCTATATTTGCAGGCAGAGTTGGTGGTGTCTTGCCTTGATTGGTGGTTAGAGGAAGGGGACTTGGGCCATGGTTTTACTGATGTTTGCTTGGGCCAAGTCATGGGAACTCTGGTAACTCCCATGAGGATGGAAGCATATGCCTTTCTTGAAGGGGGGAACTGCAACTGCAGGCGGTATGCAGGTGTTTTCAGATCCCAGGAAGGGCCTAGAAGTGTTGTCTTCACTGAGCAGCCTTAGCTCTGTCTTCAGCTAAACACATCAACGAAGAGGGTGGCAGCTGTCTCTGGATTAGAGCTGTCTATTGTGAAAGCTCTTTCTTCTGACAAATAAGCACTCCTCAGCCAAAGCAATTCCTTCCCCTTCTCAAAATAAACCCTACTTAAACACTTCCATCTCTCCTCCTGTCCTAGGCAGGGTCATATTGTTCTGAGTGCTAATAGAGCCGTATAAATAAAGCTCTGGAAGTGACTTGATGGTGACAGTAAGGCAGCCTGCCTGATGACAGTACAGATGTGCTGTGAACTCCCATTGCCCAAAGACAGCAGAGCTGCCTGTGGTGTTGCTGGGCTCTTGGGATTTATTGTAGCAGACTGGTGCTGCTAGCAGTGGCAGATATTTATTAAGGAAGCTCACTTAGCTGTGGGCTGGACCTAAATTACCCCTCAAGAAAGCACTAGCTGCCAAGCGGTGGCTGTATGGGGTATTTTAATGTTAGCAAACACTGCGCCTTGAGCTCTAGTTCTTTGCGGTTCATGTGAAAGGGTATTTCCATGCTGGGGACTGTGTATGTTTTGGCTACGTCTATTGGAGGATTCCCTTAGGTTTTCCCAGCGTGGCAGAGCACCTCGTGGGAGCCCCTTCTACATGCAGTGACCAAAGCACTCCTGACTTATAGCTTTGCCTGTGTGCTGCAGTTAAGGATGGTCTTTGACAGATTTAACCTTTCAAGATTTGGAGCTGAGCAGCTCCTGTAGAAATTGAGACTCTTAAGAAAAAAGCCCAAAGCCGTTCTTGAACTCCTTCCATCCTTCTGGACTCTGCATTCAGCCCAAAGAAGCTTAGTGGGTTTGCACTTTGGGATTTTCGTCTCAGAAGTCACGTAAGTGAAAGCCCCCAAGTGTGTGTACCTATGTAGTCCAGAAATAGTGTTTACCTGGAAAACTAGTGAATGTAACCCCTCTTAGCTAGAAATGACCATCTGCCGGCTGAGAAGCAGTAACTGGTGGTGTGTGACTGCCTCCTTGTTGCGAGAGAGGTATTCCTAAGCATTCCTATTTATTTTCCCTGGGTAGCAAAGTTGATTTTTTTTTTGTTTGTCATTCTCTTCACCCTGTGTTTTGAAAGAGTATTTCAATGGTGTAGCTGTCCCACTAGGACATCTATAGTAGGACTCCCAGCCCCTTCCTCTCCCATAACTGTGGTGTAAATGTACTTTCTTTTCCTTCCATAGATGACCAGGGCTTGGAAAGCTGTGGCCTGTGGTGGAACCCAAGACCAACTCTTCATGCAAGAGAAAGCTCGACAGTTCTTGGGCATGTTGAAACAGAGTCACACATCAAGGACCTTAATCTTATCATGAAGGATTATTCTGCTTTTTTAAAATCTATTTTTATTAAACTTTTGTAAGTGGAGGGGAGGGAACCACACAGGAAAAAATAACCTCTGCAAGGCCATAGTGTTGGAGCATCTTTTCTTTTTTTTTTTCCCCCCCCCGCCTCCCTCTGTTTCCAGGTAGATCTGAATTTTACTAAATTGGGCTAACTGCTGGCAATATGTGGGATGCAACTTTTGGAATCGTTATGGAAAGGCAAATAAGGGAGCCGTAGAGAGTGAACAGGGTATTTATCACTCTCTGCAAGACCTAGGTTCCCCAAAAGTAGAAATAGCCAGCCATGTTTCACCTTGGAATAACGTGTGAAATGGCTGTTGGACTCCGACCTGACAGTCTGCCTGGATTTTGTGCTGGTTGCTCTGATCCCTTGGAAATGGCTTTTGTTAAGGTTCCTGCACACTTCATGTCTGCCCTCCTGGTTTTTCCTAGGGGATGGATTGGTTCCCCCCTCGCTCTAGGACAGGGAGGGTGTTGCACTCTGGTGGGAGAAGGGACGTGCTTCGAGGTGACCTTCATTCGGAGCTGATTGCTTGCTCCCTGCAGAGCTGCTTTGTACTGCCGCACATTGTGCAATGGGAGCAGTGGGCGCCCGTCCCCAGGGACGAGCTCTCTCTTTAAATAAACGATGGTGCTAACAACATCCTTTCGTTCAGGCTTGGTTTGACTCCGTCTGGGGCGTCATGATGCTCTGAGGGAGGCAGTGCTGTGCCAGGGTAGTGAGATGCAGCAGAGTGAGCTGTTGGTGACAGTATTTCCGGGCTCCTGGGCAGGAGAGGGACTGGTGGAGCTCCCTTGCCAGCTCCCCATCTCCCACATTTGTGCAGCCAGCCCAGGGGAGGTCAGACTGGTTGCAATCGCCTCCGGCCAGGCTGCTGGTGGGACCCTCTGTCTCAGGGGAGCTCTTTGCAGAGCCCGGCTCTCCTGGTCATTGGTACCTGGGGCTGTGCACCCTGGGCGAGGGAGGCTGGGGAATGGTTCAGTCCGTCCAGCTGAACAAAGTGCTCACGCTTAATAATGTGAGATTTAACACTGGAGCCTGGGCCTGAACTAGACCCAGGGGACAGTCATTTCTTAAAAGGGATATTTTATGAGATACCGAGGTCAACTGATGAGGGGGAAAGGTACAGGACTTGGTATAAAGGCAGGAAAGCTCAGAAGGAAACCTATTTTCGCGTGGGTCCTTCTCTTTCCTGGCAAGTTGTTGAATTTCTTTGTTAGCTTCCCAGTGTGGGGCAGAAGAGAGGGTTTCCTTTGCCCCCTGAGAAGTTTGATCAGTTGTTTAGAAATAGCTTTGGCTGCTTTATGGGAAGGTGCCTGCCATAGTAGCCCGAGCATGTGAGTGGAGCACCCTGCTCCCTGGTAGGCTTAGCATAAGGGAGATCTGTGCAAAGCTGCATGCAGAGGGCTGTTGGCTGAGGGACAGGCACCAGGAGTGTGTGATATATTGGAGCCTTTCCAGGCCTCTTTTGTCCTGTTCCGGATGCAAAAAATGTATTGATGTAGGTGTTTTAGTGCAGTAACAGTGGTACAGTCTCCTGTTTTGATGTGAGCAAGGATGAAATGCAGTGATTATAGCAATATAGTAACTGTTCACATTTGGGGTGGTGTTGGAAAAATTGTAGTGTAACTCACCGGTTAGACCAGTATGTGGACAGCCCTTTGAACAAGCTCATAAGGGACAGCACATCACAGCGCAGACCCCATGAGCCACCCCGGCAGGTATTGCCTCTAGCCTGATGGTGGCCGCGGCAAAGGTGCGGTGCGAGGTCTGTTCACCTCTGCGCCTCTTAGCAGGACGCACTGTCCATAGTCCCCTTGCAGGGTGGAAAAACAGAGGAGGGATACATACATCTTGTTTCAGGTTGTGGTTTGCGTTAGAAATACACAGCTGAAAAATCCTTACTGACAAACTTATTAATAAAGCCTCAAATCCTAGGAAACAAGGGAATTCTCGCAGCCCAGCTCATTTTTCATTTCTACAAGCTCTGGGCCAAAGCAAATCCATGAAGTCATTTTTATTTCTGTTTCTCTGTGCTGCAATGTTTACTTTGGAAATATGACTGGGACCACTTGTCTGAAAGTGTGGCTGTAGCTGTTTCAATTTTGTTATTATTTTAAGAGAAATATTCATAAAACCATCCCTCTTCATTTGGCTTTGGGAAGGAAGAAGGCCTTTGTGCACCTCCTAGGGTGGTTTTATTTATTTATTTATTTATTTATTTATTTATTTATGGTCTTGGACAAATCCTGGGATGATTTTTGGGTCCTTGTTGTACTAAATCTTGATTTAAGATCATCCACAAAAATGCTTGCATTGTCTGTAGAAGGACTGCCTTGTCTCGAGGACGCGTGAACAGACTCGTGCTCTTCCGGCACAGCCAGCCCCCTCCTCCTCCAGCCTTTAAAATGAGCATCCGTTTAAACGCCCAAACTCTGCCCAAGCTAGGGAAAAGATCGCTCAGAAGCACGTGGAAAGGCTCTGAGTCGCGGCTGTGCTCCCGCACGAGCAGTCTGGGCTGCGAAACGTGCTGCTCGCTGGCGTTTGTCCCGGGCTCTTGCTGCAGAGCTGCTGCTTGATGCAGCCGGGCTTTGCGCACCGTGGTTTGGCCGGACAGCTGGAGGGAGCAGCGCTGGCTGAAGCATGCGCCGAGCCCTGCGAGCTCGTCCATGGAGCCTGCTTTGAGTTTCTTGGAGTCTGGTGTCCAGCTGTCGCTCCTTGCTCCCCTTCCTCTGCTGAGGGAAGGGGCCCGTTAGATTCCCTGTTGGCTCCCTGCAAGCTCCCTTGGACCATCCGTGGGTGGCATCCTGGAAACGTGTACACAGAGGATGGGATGGTGGGACGCTCTGCACTGCTGAGGCTCTGAGCGTGCAGTTTGGGCTCCTGCCCGCCTCAACAAAAGGCGCGGGAGCCTCGGCTCTGCGGAGACCCTAGTTTGCCAAAGCCAGGGTATTCCTGGATCGTGGTCCGGAGGCCCAGGGAAGGAAAGGGAACCTGCCTCGGAGCCCGTAGAGGTGCTCCCGAGGCGGGAGCAGTTGTTACACCACCCGCACCAGTCCTCGGGGCCGGGCCCCGCAGCAGAGATGGCTCCCCGTGCGCAGAGGGGAGCTCCTTTGGCTTCCCAGGTAGGAGAATTGCGGCAGGAGAGGGGTGGAAGGAGCAAATGGCTGTGCAGCAGGGCAGTGAAAAAGCTCTCCGAGAAAAGAAAACCCTCCCTGAAAAGAAAACCCTCCCTGAAAAGCTCTCCGAGACCCTGGCAGCTATTTTCTGGGGAGCAGGAAACAGGAATTTTCAGAGAGCTCTTGGGAAAGGGCGAAGGAGGCAGCAGAGGAGGAGGAAGGAGAGTCCTGATCGGGCGCTGCCAGCCTTAGCCGAATAAATCAGTGCACGATCCCAGCGCATATGTTCCAGAGTTGGCCCTAAATTAAAGGATTATGAGCCTGAGAAGTATTAACTGCCACTCTAATGCTGTGAATCCAGATAGAGATGGGTGCCCTGCATTGCCCATTGCTTATTAAGAAAGATTGAGGTGCAGAAAAATACTGAGGAAAATGAGCAAGGATAGCATGGTTAATGAGGAAAAAGACAATTAGCTTTTAATTGGAAAATGGAGCTCTTTCTTTCGCGTGCGGCTAACGCTGGCTTGGCTTGGGAACAGCCGAGGCAGGAACGGGGGTGGGAAGAGGTACGGCTCGGGAGCCGTCGGCTGCGGGAAGGCCTGCCGCAAACTTGCAGAAACCCCAGGTCTTGCTTTTTTCCTGTGATTGCGTCCCTGTATTTAGGCGATTGCCGCAGTTGTTTGAAGCCGGACAAAGAGAATGGATTGATTTCAGCAGGGACGAGAGGGGAATATCGGAGCTGGAGCGGCTCATGGGGTGATGGAAGTGCACGGGCTGCAAACGGGACTCCGCTTCCAACCAGGACAAGCTCTGGGGGGGAAAAAGAGAGGGGGGAGAAAAAAAAAAAAGGGAAGAAAACACAA